TAATTTTTCCAGAGCGTAAGGCAACACCAAAACTGAATGGAAGGTCTGCCATTTTGCGATAGCTGTGTTCCTTGCGGACAGTGTCGCTGATTGTCACTAGTTCCTGCAGGTCTGTTCGCCTACTTTTCTCGGTTGATAAACGCTTCCCCGTAGAGGCTGGTGATAGTTTGTGACAGCTACCTGTAGCTGCGTCCTCACAGGATTGAGTTATATCTTGACACAAATGTGAAAATATAGAGAGCAATATATATCAGGGTTGTATTCTGGTATCTACTGCGGTGTCTTGGTAGTTTGACAGCTACGGTTTCCTTTGCACGAAAACTTTCGGGCGGCAACCTTATCCATATTTTGACATACGGCCTGTGAAACAAACCAAACACGCTCGTACGAAAACTCCAGCAACACGCAAGCTGGAATTGTCAAAATTTACATCTTTTTATAAATCGCAAGTAATGTACGTTTTCTGTGGTTTTTCATCAGCTTGCATTTTGATTTTGACTCTTTATTACCGCCCACAATATTAGGTGTATACACAATCAGAAGCTGTAAAATTTTACCTAGAGCCATGAGCTAGGCGAAGTTCTGATGAGAAATGTCAAATTTTTATTCTGATCCGTCAAAATTTGCTCTTCTGTCAATAGATGAGCGTTTTCTATAAAAATGCTTGGTATTAGGTTCCTAGATGAAACTAGCCAATTTTCAGAGGTTTTTTTTGCGGTTAAGTGGGAAAACAATACTTGCAAAGGAGTCACGGCAACCCCGGATTTTTTTGTATCCTTGCACTGCGGCAAATTCCTTTTGGAAGAGTAACGGAACTAGTCCACGCCGTTAAGTGGGAAAAAAATACTTGCAAAGGAGTCACGGCAACCCCGGATTTTTTTGTATTCCTCCTTGCACTGCGGCAAATTCCATTTGGAAGAGTAACGGAACTAGTCCAAATGACGCAGTGCCGGTTACTCTTCCAAATGGAATATTCCCGCAGTGCAAGGGTATAAAAGCCCGCTGGCAACCCCGCATGGGCTCAATTGACAGTTCGCATGGAACGGGTAAGAAAGTGAATTGTGCAATGGACATTAAGGGCCGTTTGCACCATGTCTAGTTAACGCTAACTGGGGGTACTTCCTTCAGTTAAGCACGTTAACTGCTTTATCGATCACATGTTATATGATGGGTGTCGATAACGTCGATAAAGATGTTTAACTGGGAGTTAGAATTAACTAGACATGGTGCAAACGGCCCTAAAGTTGCTAATTAAAAGTGAAAACTCAAAGAAAAATTTCACATAAACGATTAAAAAAAAAAAAAAATAAAGTAGTGCCTCGTGATAAAAAAAGGGGGAAAAGAGAAGAAACCCCAGGTGTGGTGCAGTAAAAAAAGGGTAAAGAAAAAGAACAGAACCCCACTGCAAGGGCCCACCATCATCCAGCCCATAACTATCAGCACCGATCTCTCCGAGGGACAACCAGCAGAAGTATCCTCAGCCGCGAACAAGGAAGCAACCCCGAGCCAGCAACAGCAACGTACAACAACAACAACAACAACGTACAACAACAACCAGCGCGGCTACCATAGCGCGCAACAACAAAAACATCCAGCGCAGCTATCATAGCGCGCAACACCTTCAACAGCGTGTAACAGCAACGCGCAACAACAACACCAACAAGCGCGGCTACCATAGCGCGCAACAACAACAACAACAAGTTGGCCCCAACGGCAGCGACCGGCTCACAACAATAACAACCAGCGCAGCTACCATAGCGCGCAACAACAACAACAACAAGTTGGCCCCAACGGCAGCGACCGGCTCACAACAATAACAACCAGCGCAGCTACCATAGCGCGCAATACCTTCAACAGCGCGTAACAGCAACGCACAACAACAACCAGCGCGGCTACCATAGCGCGCAACACCTTCAACAGCGCGTAACAGCAACGCGCAACTACAACAACGCGCGAAGCAACAACGCCAACAACGGCGGCCACAGCAACAACGCAACCGCCAGAGCAAAAGCGGCAACACGAGCAACCGCCAGAACAGAGGCGTCCACTACAACAACAACAACCACTCCAGCGCAGCAGAACAGAAGCAGTTGCAACAACGGCATCGCCTCTTCCAAGGCATGCTGCTACAAGGTGGGGTGAGTTCTAGAAAAATACTAAAAATCAAACAACAAAAAGTAATTTAGTACAACAACAGAAAATTAAATAATGGAAAAAAAGAAAACGTATAACCAAGTATAAATCTTGACGACTTAAGTATTTAGTAAAGCGATAGCAACCTGAAAATAGTATAAGATAGTAAGTGTTAGAAAAACAAAAACAAAAGGATATATCATTATTACTAAAATTAGCACGAAAAAAAATATATGTATATGTACATCTATATATATTTTACTAAAACTTAGAACATGGTTAATCGTGTGATANTAAAATTAGCGTGAAAAAAAAAATATATGTACATATATAAATAAATAAAATAAATAAATATAAAATAAATATATTTTACTAAACCTTAGTAACCATGTTTGTGTGATTAAGACCCTTATAGTAATAAGGTGATGAAGTAATTTGAATCGTTAAAAAGGGGAATTAATGAGAAGCGGATAACTGATATTAGGGCTGAAGTTAGTAAGGAAAAAAAACAACTAAGTTAATATGTAAATGCAAATTTTAAATAAACTAGAACGTACTATATATATTCATAAAATAAAATAAACAAATTAAACAAAAAAAAAAATACTTAAATAAAATACTAATAAATGAATGAAATTAAATTGAATTAGATTAAAACCGAAAACAAAGCTAACCCGGGACTAAAATAACGGGTGATTTTTTTGAGGTTAGGATTTTCATGCATTAGTATTTGACAGATCACGTGGGATTTCAGACATGGTGTCAAAGAGAAAGATGCTCAGTATGCTTTGACATTTCATCATGAATAGACTTACTAA